CCAAGAGACAGAAAGGGACACATAAACCAGAGACTTCATCAGCCTGAGACCAGAAGAACTAGATGGTGCCTGGCTACCACAATGACCGCCCTGACAGGGAACACAACAGAGAGTCCCTGATGGAGGAGAAAAGTGGGGCGCAGAACTCAAATTCTAGTAAAAAGACCAGACTTAATGGTTTGACTGAGACTGGAGGGACCCCGGAAGACATGACCCCCAGACTCTCTGTTAGCCCAAAACTAAAGCCATTCCTGAGACCAACTCGTCAGACAAAGATTAGACTGGACTATGGAACGTAAAATGGTACTCTTGAAGAGTTTGCTTCTTAGCTCAAGTAGATACACAAGACTAAATGGGCAGCTCCTGTCTGGAGGTGAGATGAGAAGGCAGAGAGAGTCAGGAGCTTGTTGAATGGATACAGGAAATCCAGGGTGGAAAGGAGTAGCATGATGTCACAGTATAGGGAGAGCAACTAGGGTCACATAACAATGTATGTATAAATTTTTGTATGAGAGACTAACTTGAATTGCAAACTTTACTTAAAGCAATAAAAAAAAAGAAAAAGAGGAAGACCCTCAACAAGATGGATTGAAAATAAAATAAAACAAAAAGGCCTTTAAGATAGGTCATTTTCACTTGTGAAATTAAAGAAGTTACCTGAAGGTAAAGGTTTCACCCTTCCAGTCTTGCAGTGGATTCTCCTGGATGACGTCCTGGGTCAGAGGTGAGTTCTGCCATGGCGATTTGCAGTGAGGGAGGGTACCCATGTGACTGAAGTTATCACAGGACCTTGTGGGAGGAGGGCCTTTTTTCTTGCGTGGAAGGGTGCCATGTATAGACACGTCTTGATAGGCATCTGTACGGTGTTCAACGAGAGCTGACTTGCTGCTCAGAAGGTCCATGGATGAGGCCAGGGGGAACTGGTGATTCACAGGCACATTTCTGGGAAGGCTTGCAAATTTTCCTGCAGCCATAATTCTCAACTCTAAGGGGAAAAAAGTGAAGGTGAAAATGTAAGCCAATCACAAGACCCAACTTCCTATTGACAAAAGGAAATGGAAAGATACGGCACAACAAAAGAACGTACTCATGGAACATAAAAAGACAAATGCTGTCTAATGGCATCACTTTGTTGCTGTTTAGTTGCACAGTGGAAGGAAATGTTTCCATTGGTCCTGTGCAATCCCATGACCAGTTGCAGACTGGACTGTTGTGATCCATATGGTTTTCATTGGCTGACTTTCCACAAGTAAATTGCCAGGCCTTTCTTCCTAGTCCTGAAACCTGTTCAGCATCATAGCAACATGCAAGTCTCTATTGGCAGATCAGTGGTGGCTGTGCATGAGGTGCACTGGCCGGGAATCGAACCCGGGTCTCCTGCATGGAAAGTGAGAATTTTATCACTGAACCACCACTGCTCCCCAAATGGCATCACTAGTAGAACATAAGAATGGGAACACTTTGGTATTTCTAAGTTCACTCTTTTTATGATCCCACAGAGGAATTCTCCTGGGTTGGCAGCAGACCCTCCAACGGAAAAGGGCAAACATATTCCAGAGTCATCAGAGGCACATGAGCCATTTAATTACTCCAGAAAACAAAAGTTGATAGAAAGGCACAGCTAACTCACAAACAACAAAAAAGATGGTTAAGGAAAGACTCCAAGTTTCAGTGATAAATACATTAGAGAAAATGTTATAAACACATCAGATAATTAGTCCATGTATTTCTACCACCCTGCAAATGATAACAACAGGCAGAGATTATTAGAATTCTTTAGCCACTGCTGGAACGTCTTCAGCACCAGAGCAGCCCTTCAGTTGTGCTACCCAGGGGGATTGGGAAGAATTTTTCTGGCCAAGGCCTGGTGCTTATAAATAAATCAATGTGCTCTAATTAACACAGATGGGCCAGGGTCAGGGGTCAGGAGGTGGGCCACTCCTCCATACATGAGTGAGCTCAGCTGCATAGGAAGGCCACTGGTGGGTGGGGGCTCCATATACACTGTCCCCAGAAGGAACAGGAACCTGCCTGCCACCAGCAGGGTGAAGCAATGCCCATAGGTGCCTGTAGTCTGAGAAGAGTGGGGAGGGAAGAGAAAGAAGAAAAGGGAAAAAAGGGAGGGAGCATGGAAAGAGAGGAAAATGGTATGTGAGTTTGTGTGCAAAAGCAGCCCAAACAACTGTTCCTCCTCAAAAAAAACCCCAAATCTGTCGCCATCGAGTCGATTCCGACTCAAAGCAACCCTATAGGACAGAGCAGAACGGCCCCATAGGGTTTCCAAGGAGCAGCTGGTAGATTCGAACTGCCAACTTTTTGATTAGCAGAGAGCTCTTATCCACTGAGCCACCAGAACTCCACAATTGCAGGGCTTAGCTGTGCTGCTATGTTGTCTGGATCAGAGTCTGATACCAAGTCTGGCGTGGGTCCTTATGTCTCCAGGGACTAGCCCTAATTTTTATTCAAGCCCCTGTTTCTTGTTACCTTAAACAAGTCTCATATAATTTGGCTTAGGTGAAAAGCATGGTCTGCACCTAGACTTGGTATGAGACTCTGGTCTGGACAACACAGCAGCATAGCTAAGCCTGCACGCTGCCCTTCCCCCAAGGCTGCGAGGGGAACATCCGCTTGCCCCTAAAACCATTCTCAAGCCTTGTTGCAGGCCCTGTTCCTCACAGACTACCTTTTCCAACGCATTAGTTAGGAAATAGCTTTGGTTGAAAATCATCATTTAATAGCACTACAGTAGTTAACAACAACTGCAGATTCCATTTCAAAAAGGAATTGGAAACTTGGGACAATCAAGAATACAGCCCTCCAGAAGCTACTAGAAACTGGAATAAAGACAGCAGAGTATGCAAAGGAAACACTCAACAACAAATACACACATGATCCACTGCTTCCATGTGCAATAGAGGGAAACACACAAGTGCTGGGGGCTGAGTGGACTGAGACCCTTCACTCAAGGCATATAATCCTAGCCCTGTCCTCAGTTCTTTGCCATGCCTGTTAATTCTGGGGCTCGTCTGCTCCATGTGTAACTGGGACCATACAGAATGCCTGGATCATAGTGGGTGCAAAACAATAGAACTGTAAACCCCCGTGTGGGTCCCTCCCAGTTCTGGCTAGTACCTGGCACACTGTCAGCACTAGTTCAGTGTTAATCATTGTTATTAAAAAAGAAACCAAACTCCCTAGCCGTCCCTGCCTGATCACCAGTGACGTAAGCCTACACAATTCTTCTACCCTCCCCACCCCCCCACACACACCCCATAGCTGTGAACTCTTAACTGTTCATGCTATTAGCACCTTTTTTCTTCATAGACAGGCCTGGATCATTTCAAAGAATCTGGGGGGAGGCTCAGAGCACCCCACAGAACCTCTTTCTGTGCAAAGGCCCACACTGTTGACCAAGTCTACTTCCAGGCTAGTATGATAGGTCGTCATGGGTCGGAATCGACTTGAAGGCAACTGGTTTTTTTTGTTTTTTTTTAAACAGTGGGCAAAAGTTACCTTAGCTCCAGTGTCTTCAACAGCCTGGTTCCTCTCTGCTTATGCAAGACTTATCTAAATTTCAAGATTGAGCCAAAGTGCTCTAGAATGCACTTTGGCGCAATCTTGAAATTTTGAGCCAACTTCAGCAAGTTGCCTACACCTCGGTTTATTCTCTGATGACCAGGGATGCCAACTTCCCCTTCTACCTTCAATTCAACAGGCATTTAAGTGCCTACTACATATAAGGTACTTAAATGTTTATTGAACTGAAGGTAGAAGGGGAGAGGTTGACATCCCTGGTTATCTACCCTGGTGGCGTAGTGGTGAAGACCTATGGCTGCTAACCAAAAGGTCAGCAGTTTGAATCCACCAGGTGCTCCCTGGAAACCCTATGAGGCAGTTCTACTCTGTCCTGGTCAATATGAGTCAGAATTGATTCGACAGCAATGGGTTTGGTTGGTTTGGATATACAAGGTACTCAGAGACACAAAGATGCCTAAGCCCCAAACCCTGACTATTAGCTCTAAGAGAAGAGAGAATAATGTAACTTGTAAATAGAGACCTTTCACATGCTGGAAGGAAGAACAATTAACGTTGAAAGGACTCGAGGGGCTCTCAGAGATGGCAATACTGGAAATGAAGCATTTGAAAGGTGGACAATTGTAGGGAAAAGTCTTCCAAGAGGATGATGTAACAGCAAATGCACAAAGGCAAGAAAGTACCCCCACAGGGTCAGGAAACCGCAAGCGTGGTATGGCTCGAGTGGAGAAGCTGTAGAAGCATTTCTAGAAAAAGTTTAGGGCCAGACCATGAAGTCTTAGGAGTCCCTAAGTGGCGCAAATGGTTAAACGCTCAACTACTAACTGAAAGATTAATTGTTTGAACGCATCCAGAAGTGCCTCATAAGAAAGGTCTGGTGATCTGCTTCCGAAAGATCACAGCCTTGAAAACCCTAGGGAACAGTTCTACTCTGCAACACATGAAGTCACCGTGAGTTGGAATCGACTAGACAGCAACTGGCTTGGTTTGGTTCATGACGTCTTGGATGTCCTGCCAAGGTGACTGGACTTGACTGTAAGTGCCAGGGAAGAGCTAGAAGAGGAAGAATCCTGTCTGTGCTCAGGGACATAACCGGGGTAACCCTGGGAAGGTTATGCTGATGGCAACGACCAGCAAGGAATGATGAGAATCTCTGACCTGGGCAAGGAAAAGGAGAGATGGAATGAAAAGACATCTGGAGCTCAAGACCTGTGGCTAGGAGGAAGGAGCCCACAGCCATGGGAGGATGGTGCCATGCTGTAACATGCTAAGCCGTTGAGTGTGAGGTACCAGGGGGACAGTTCTGTCTAGGAGGATGTCAGATATTGGTATGTACAGTTAGGAGCAAGGGCAGGATGGAGATTTTTTTAAGTCATCAACATAAAGGGAATATTTAAACCAGAGAGTAGATCCTTTAGCTTGTTATTATCAAGATTAAATAACAGATGTAAAAGTACCTTTTAAACTGTCAGGAACCATGCAATATCCATGAATTATATCCTTGCTCTCTCTCTCACCATGGCTGCTTCAGAGAATGAGTTCTGAAAGGGTAAAGCAGTGGTTCTCAACCTGGCTGCACGTAAAAATCATCTGGGAAGCTTTTAAAACCCTGGTGCCCAAGCTGTGCCCAGATCAAAGAAATCAGAATCTCTCTGGGTAGGACCTGGGCGTCAGTCTTTTCAAAGCTCCCCAGTATTGTCCAGTGTGGTGCTAGGGTTGAGAACTACTGTATTAGAGAGACTGTTTGGTACACAGCAACTTGCATTCAGATTTGTTTTTCCTGGATAAAAGAATCAAATGGTGATGCAGAGGTATCATTCATTCAACCAAAGCATTCATTCATTCTTCTATTCAACACATTCATTTATTCCAGGCAGAGGGCTTGGATGGGGAGGATGGCTGGCACTGTGTCAGGTATTGGGGACATAATGTCAAACAAGACAGAGTGGTCTCTGTCCTCGTGGGGTTAATACTCCATTGAGGAAGCAGACAATAAGTAATGACCATAAATGTTGGTGGTTCTCAGAGATATGGGAGCACACAGAGTGGGGACCAGGGTCTAGATAATCTAACAGCCAAGGAAAGGCTTCCCTGGGGAAGGAATACTGATCTGAAGGATGTGAAGCAGAGTTTAATAATTGGAAGGAAGAGATCATCCAAGATGAAGGTTCCAGATGGTTCTCAGCTGCAGACAAATTTGAATTACGAGTCTCCTGCCTCCTAGGCCAGCCTCTCCTCTACAGCATATTGCCTCCAACTTGGGAGCTTTTCCCCATTAAAATACAGCCTGGCCTTGTATCTAGTAACTTAGAAATACTGGCTCAAGCCTGGATCCTATGTCAAGCTTGAATCAGTCCAACAGTGAGGTAAGTTGGCCCAGATGGAAGAGAAAGGTGCTATCCATGTGGAAGGAGCTCATTTGCAACCTTTTGGGTCAGTCTATTTCTGACTTTAGCTGTATTTTCTTTTCCCTGACTCCAGGAACCTGGATGAAATCCGAGGAATGAAGTGTGTTATGTGTAGCTGGAATCTAGGTTCATGGTAAATACTTTCCATTTTGACAGTGAAGCCACATACCTCATTTGACCACTAGACAGAATCTCAAAGTGTTATTGATACCTAGATGGGATTTCAAAGAATCAAGCTCCTTCGTTTTTCCAGATAAGGAATATAAGTGTTCATTCATTCAATATATATTCTCTGAGGGCTTACTATATAAGCATATTATATTAGGATATAATATACTAGACAAGGTCCTGCTCTCATGGAGCCTACATTCTCATGAGGGAGTCCAACCAATACAACAAGAAAAATAAACTAGGTAATATCTGAGTAACATGTGCTCTGAAGAATTTAAAAACAGTATAAAATGATAGGACATACTGGTTATGAGTGGAGGGCTACTTTAGATTAGGGTCATATAGGAAGACCTCTCTGAGGAGGTAACAATTGACCTGAGACCTGAAAAAAGAGAAGGAGCCACCCAAGAGAAGATCTGAAGGAAATTCCCCCAGGAGATCCAGCAAATACCAAAGCCTTGAAACGGGGCAAGTGATTGGAACAGCACAGTGGAAACCAGGTGTCCAGTTTCTCACTCCCGTTTTCTCTACTTGGAGATGTTTTTGCCTCAATGTCCCTGGTCATCATATACTTCTTATGTGCCATTTATAAAGGAGCCCTGGTGGTGTAATGGTTAAGGGTTCGGCTGCTAAGCAACAGGTTGGCAGCTTGAACCCGCTCAGCAGCTCCGAAGAAAGACCTAGCAATTTGCTCCCGTAAAGATTACACTCTAGAAAACCCATGGGGCAGTTCTACTCTGTCACATGGGATCACTATGAGTCAAAATCGACTTACGGCACCTAACAACAACATATGCCATTTGATTTTTTTTAAAATCAAATATGGTGTGACTCAGACTTTAGAATCAGATATTTATAGGTTCAAATCCCATCCTATCCCACCGATGGACTAAAAACTCTGCCACATATTTACTGTCCAGGGACAAGTTACTCAGCCTCTCTGATGGCCACTTTTCATCTGTGAAAACAAGTTAACCCCTATTTCACGGGGTTGTTGTAAAAATTAAATGTGACAGTGTATGTAAAGCCCTTGGCATACAGCAACCCCTCCCACCCACCAAAAAAAAAAACAACCCACAGCTGGCAAGTCAATTCCGATTCATAGCAACCCTATAGGACAGAGTAGAACGGCCACGTCGGGCTTCCGAGGCTGTAATCTTTACGGAAGCAGACTGCCACATCTTTCTCCTGCTGAGCAGTTGGTGGGTTTGAATGACCGATGTTTCGCTTAGAAGCTGAGCGCTTTAACCACTGTGCTCCAGCAAGCACTCGATAAATAGCAGGCCTCCTCTTAGCAGGGCAGGGACCATGTCTGTCTTGCTGATCACTTTATTCCTCTTATGGTGATAGTTCACAAATGATGCCATGGTCCTGGGGAAGACTGTAGCCAGAAAGGATGAGGGGGAAAACATTTTAATCTAGAGCAACAGATGTAAAACACACCAAACCAAGGAAGATGTAGACACAGACACACACGGGTACACCAAGTGAGCCCATATGCAGTCCTTAAAAAAAAAGCGCAGGTGAGAGACTTTGGCCATCACCTCTCTCTACCATGCAGGTAAACAGACACAGTGTCCTGAGTCTATCTAATGCTAGATCTTGAAATATATACAAAGGTCAATGACTCTACATCTTGATATGAAAATATGAGACCCACTTGAATGTTCAAAGAGCTGAAATCTCGATCAGGGACAAGGGAGAGCCTCACAAACTTCCAACATCTTTGCTCCTCCTGACCCTGGTCAGCTGCTGTGCTTTGAAATGCTTGTGAACAGCAGCCCAGCTCACTTGCTTTACAAGATGTCTGAAAGAAGCTGATAATCGCATGCAAGTTGATAAGCAGCCCACTTGTCTGAATTTTTCTCTTTGAAATTGGATATTTTCAAGGAAAACTCATAGATTGTTATCTGACATGGGCTTTAAGAACTTTCTATCATATTTTCAACTCTGGAAATGTAACTGTCTTGACTGCCCCATTATGACTAGGACAGAGAATTACAATTTGGATCTGTAGCTATATATCTTCTCTGCAAAGTCAGACAGGCAAAGGAGATGGAACAATCGCATGCATAAAATTGGTTTATCCACTTAGAGTGAAGTTTTGCTTGAGTTTCGGAATTAAGAATATCCCTTTATTTTCTAAGTAACTTTATGAAGTCTAGCCAAATGATTAAAGTATGAATAATTCCTCCATGGATTATATCTCAAGCAACACAGCACAGGATCTACACGATAAAGTTCCTAAGATTAGCATCCGTTTGACAACCGGTATTTTCTATATGAACAGGAGATTGATATCTTGGTTAGTCATCTTGGAAGTGTCAGGCTTCTCAGCAGCAGTTTAGAGAGCTGGAATTAGGGAGGTGAAGGAGGACTTGGCATAGCGAGCCGTTTACATTATACGCAATACGCCCCCTTGCACACACGCACACAACCGCTTTGGCTGCAGCGTCCCCATTATCAATTGGGCAGCCCCTTCTCACTCGGGACTCTCGCCCTGCTGGGCTCCGCCCCCAGCACCGAGGCCTCCGCCTACCTCCTGGATCTCGCCTCAGATCCTGGCAACACCGAGGGAGATTATTGGCTCCTAAACTGACCTTCCCCTCCGCCAGAGTACTTTTTTTGGGGGGCGGGGGGGAGAAACAGAGATCTGCATAGCCTTGGGAGATAGGAGTCAAGACTTAAAAGCAGCCCTGAATGCGCGGCTTCTACGTTCCATTCCAGCTAATGGGGCTAAGGGGAACGCAGACACGAGGTCAGTCAAAGGGTCTTTCCCTTCTGCAGCTTGCTTCAAGCGAGCTAACACCAAAACCAGAGTTCTCCACTCCCCAAAACCCCCAACCATGACACGCCGCCCCACGGAACATGCACCTTCACCAGCTGCTACGGAGCCCACCCGACCACCTCCCCGACGAATGTCCACACCGATCAAATTGTTTTCAGAGGTGGCCGTCTCGGCAGCCTGAGTAAGGAAAGATGGGCTGAGATCCGAAACTCCTTCCTGTTGCTCCCACCGTCCCTCCCTTCCCCTCCTTTCCGCGACGCAGAGAGAGCGACACAATCAACTATTCATTCTTTCTCAACAAAGGGAGAGACGCAGGGGGATGTTGTCAACAGTTACAAGCAGGCTCCTTCGCTTTCCTTGCAAACTCTCCAAGAGATTAGTTGAGAAACTCGCCTCCTCCAAGCCCTGGGCTTCCAGCGGAGCCCTCTCGGCCGGCGCGTCCCCCAGCCCCCACGGGCCTCGGGGCAGAGGGAGAGTACGTGGAGGGCGGCTGGCTGAGCCTGGACGGGCAGGGGTCGGGAGGGGATAGCGCCCGGGGAGATGTCGCTCGAGAGCGAATGGGCTGAGATGCTCGTCGCAAACCGCTGAGCACCTCCCGCCGGGGGGCACGTCCCGGGAGTCCGAGCCCATTCGGAGGGCCCCGAGGGCGCAAGCCGAATCTCCCCTTCAGTCACCCCTGCCCCCAAACTCCAGCTCTGCGGGGGCGGGAGGGCGGAAGGAGCGCCGATTCCTCCTTAGAACCCAACTTTCTCCAACAAACTTCTCAGCTCGCCTTCACCGGCTACGAGGAGAGGCCGAGGCGCCTCTGAAGGCGCAGCCCCCCCAGGGGAAAAGGGGCGCTCAGGCTGCGGAGACTCACCTCCGGGCGCGGCGCTTGGCGCCCCGGCTCTCCGCTAGGGCTCAGAGGCGCCCAGCGCCGCCCGCGCCGCGGATGCTCAGGGAGCAGGAGCCACTCATGGTCCGCGGGGCGCGCCCGCCGAGAAGCCCGCCCGCGGCTCGCCTGTGCGCGCGGCGCCTCCGCTCCGGCTCCGGCTCCGGCTCCGGCTCTCCTCCCGGCCCGGGCAGCTGCAGGCGCGGCTCTGAGCCGGCGGCGCGCACTCCGGCCCTCAACTGGTGATTTGCGGCTTCGCGGCCCCACCCCGGCGACCCGATTTGCGCGGCCTTTCGTATCCCCCCGCGACATTTACATTCCGGTGACCTCACCTTGCCCTCTTCTGTCTGGAGCTTAAAGTTTGGTTCTTTTCATATCTCCTCCAAAAGCCAGCTCTCAAGTGCAGATCGACCACCCCCTCACTGTGTCCCTCTCGAGGGACAACCCCGCCTAATCCACTCCTCCCCC